TTTTTTCTGTAACACAATATATTGTTTGAGTATTGGAGTGTTTTTGAATGGCATTGGTACATGTGAGTGCAGAGATGTATTTGTTATAGTGTTGGCATTTAAATGTCCAGGTTAATTTGTGTGTAGGGTCTGTGTGTTTGAATGAAGACTTTTTTTATGTGGTTACCATAGCAACCACAGAGGATGCACTGCGGTTTCTAATGGTGGAAAGTAGAAGGACAGCCTTGTGGGAGGGAGCTCTATTCTACTCTCTCGTCAGAGAATATGCCAAAGAATAGACTGACAGATGGAGAAAAAAAGCCTATGTTAAATAGGTTTGTTTCTCCCAATCTTTACATTTGCTAGAAAATGTGCTAAAACAATATATAGATTCAATTTTATCATCTTTCAAAAGAACGTAAATTATAGGTACTGGGACAAGTAAACTTAAAAATATTTGCATACATATATTAATATACATCTGTATATATGTATACATGCATAATAGTCTCAGGAACCCAGAACCCATACACAAAAACACTTCCTGATACACACAAACTGACCCATAGAGAGAGACACACACACACACACACACACACGCACACACACTCACTGACCCATACAGAGTGCACTCTCACCAGCAGCTTCCTGGATATCTTTATTTTCCCTCGCACTCCCCTTCATGCCTTGTTTGCCTTGTTCCCAGAGCTGAGCCTCCTCCTCTTTGTCTCACCGTGCCACAACTCTCCGGGAGCCAGTAGGAAGTGAAGTTTAATCACTTCCTACCAACACAAGGGGAGTAGTTGCCCAGGTTGTCAGGTATGCAAGACCCTTTCAGGCTTGCCCTGGCAAAAAAGGACAACTACGCATAGAGATGCTAACATTTGAATAAGTGCCTGTTTCTAGGGCTTCAATTAATCTTTGTCGATCAGGAAGTGCAAATCTCAGCCTTTCCCTTAAGAAGCCCGGAACAGACCACAAGCATATTATGGCCGTGTCATGGGAGCTGATTGCAGCTGTACTGTTCATGCAGCTCCTATTGCTTGTAATGGGATTGTGCACAGCAGAGGGCAAACAGCTGTACAATTACTTGAAGGATCATTATAGGGTCAGGAACACAAACATGTATTCCTGACCCTATAGTGTTAAAACCACCATTTAGGCGGCTTGCTCTCCCACTCCCTTAGCCCCCTCAGACTGGGTTAAAACTCACCTTATTTCCAGCTCTCCATGGGTCCGCCGGTGCTGGCCCCGCCCCATTGGTGACATATTTAAAATTGCTGATTTTTAGCCAATCCAATGCTTTGCTATGGGGAAGGCATTGGATTGTCTAAAATCAGCAAGGGGGTGGGGCCAAACACTGTTTTGGCCAATCAGCACCTCCTCATAGAGATGCATCTCTATGAGGAAAATTCCGCCTCCCCATGCAGAGCGTGGGGATGCTGAATGGCAGGACTGCTTACTATGCAGCCCTGAGCCAGGAAGCCCCTCCAGTGGCCGTCTAAGGAGTGGCCACTTGGAGGTGTCCCTAGGGGCAATGTAAACACTGCTTTTTATCTAAAAAGGCAGTGTTTGCATAAAAATGCCTGAAGGGAGCTATTATACTCACCAGAACAACTACATTTGAGCTGATGAAACCTTTCTAGCAAATACAGAGTAATAATACACAATAGAGAGAACTGCATAGTACGTGAAGGACATTCCTGAACTCATACGGTTATTTGAGAATATTAGGTCCAAAGATTTGCAGTTGAAAAATTTCCTGAGTCAAATAAGTTTTTAGTTTGGCTTATTATGGACACACACACAGTGTACAGTGCCTTGCCAAAGTATTCACCCCCTTGCCATTTTTTGTGTTTTGTTGCCTAACAACCTGGAATTAACATGGATTGTTTGGGAATTTGCATCATTTAATTTACAGAACATGCTCACAACTTTGAAGATTTTTTTTTTTTTATTGTGAAGCAAATAACAAATAGGACAAAATAACAGAAAAGGTCAATGTGAATAACTATTCAGCCCGCCTAAAGTTAATACTTTGTAGAGCCACCTTCTGCGGCAATCACAGCTACAAGTCGCTTTGGATAAGTCTCTATGAGCTTGCCACATTTTACCACTGGGCTTTTTGCCCAACTGCTCCAGCTCCTTCAAGTGGGATGGTTTGCGCTTGTGAACAGCAATCTTTAACTCTAACCACCGATTTTCTATTGGATTGAGGTCTGGGCTTTGGCTAGGTCATTCCAATACATTTACATGTTTCCCCTTAAACCACCAAAGTGTTGCTATAGCAGTGTGTTTGGGGTCATTGTCCTGCTGGAAGGTGAACCTCCAGCCTCAAATCACGCACAGAGTGGTACAGGTTTCGCTCAAGAATATCCCTGTATTTAGCACCATCCATCTTTCCCTCAACTCTGACTAGTTTCCCAGTCCCGGCTGCTGAAAAACATAGTGTGGGATAGTGTTCTTTGGGTGATGTGATGTATTGGGTTTGCGCCAGACATAGCGTTTTCTTTGATGGCCAAAAAGTTCAATTTTAGTCTCATCAGACCAGAGCACCTTCCTCCATACATTTTGGGAGTTTCCCACATGCCTTTTGGCAAACTCAAAATGTGCCATTTTGATTTTTGCTGAAAGCAATGGCTTTCTTCTGGCCACTCTGCCATAAAGCCCAACTCTATGAAGCATACGGCTTATTGTCGTACTATGTACAGATACTCCAGTCTCTGCTGTGGACCTCTGCAACTCCACTGGGGATACCTTAAGTCTCTGTGCTGCCTCTCTGATTAATGCCCTCCTTGCCCGGTCCGTGCGTTTTGGTGGGCGTCCGTCTCTTGGCAGGTTTGCTGTTGTGCAATGTTCTTTCCATTTTGTTATGATAGATTTGATGGTGCTCCTGGGGATCATGAAAGATTTGGATATTTTTTTATAACCTAACCCTGACTTGTACTTCTCAACAACATTATCCCTTACTTGTTTGGAGAGTTCCTTGGTCTTCATGGCAGTGTTTGGTTAGTGGTGCCTCTTGCTTAGGTGTTGCAGTCTCTGGGGATTTTCAAAAAATGTGTGTATATGTAATGACAGATCATGTGACACTTAGATTACACACAGGTGGACATCATTTCACTAATTACGTGACTTCTGAAGGTAATTTGCTGCACCAAAGCTTTTTATGGGCTTCATAACAAAGGGGGTGAATACATACGCACATGCCAATTTTCTTCTTTTTTTTTGTAAATCTGTTTTATTATTTTTTTAGGAAAATGAACAAGATGATTCAGTGCAGTCAGTAACAGTGTTACGGACTCGCAGGACCCTTTTACAGAGAGAGATATAGAATCAGGTATAAGTTGAGTATTACAGCATTCGTCTGGGGTAATCTTTGAGCCCCCAAAGTCCAGGTAGCATGAACAAACATAAATCTGCAATCATAATGTAACTTAGTACAGCAATTCCCACCCCACCCTGGAGTCGGCGTGTGTAGCGCTGGACCCCTCCAGTGAGCTCATCGCCTTTACGAGTGCAATTTTTTTTATTTTTTTTCTCGGGCCAGTACCAGCATACTTAGCTTATCACATGTTGTACAGTATTGGTGTTGTATTTTTACGATCTGTTGTACCCACCGATCAAGGAGTTCTATTTGGTCATGGCAAGATCATGCAGCTGAGGCAGATACGGTCTTATGATGAGGGTAGTGGACCTCCCCCCCTTGCTGTTGTTTATGGCATTGAGGATTCACCAATCCTCAGCAAGCTCTGTTAGTGACATGGGCAGGCGGCGGGCAGGTCATAGGCCATCGGGGCTCCCCCCCAGGTCCCGCCCCCATGCCCCAGTATAGCGCAAATATGTATATACAATAACATCATTGCATCCCCATCACTTAGTGAATCCGTTACTGTTTAACATACATGTGGGCATCCTAAACATACAATTTGCCTGTCATCAGATAATAAAGACTTAGCAGTACATACATTATGTATCAACATCGGAATAAGGGTTTCCCCCTGTCTCCACCATTTGGTGGGGATGCTTTAGATGTGACTTACCCCCAAATCCTCCCGGTCCCCGCTCCCAAAAGTGAAGCCCCGTGTCTCAGGTGCCCCTGTCAGTGTATGCAGGCGAACGGGGTGAGACTGGGACTCGGCTGCCCTCCCCAAGGCCATCCAACCAAAGATACCCATGACTTCAGCGGTCAATCATCCCCCCCAGAGCCCGCACCACCCAAAAGATCCACTGTAGCGTGCACGTCCAAGGGCAAGAGGGGCCTGGAGCAACCCAGTGCATTCCCACCGCTTACACCTTCGAAGATAGTCCCGTATGCGCCCTCCCGGGAGACAAGGTTGTGGTTGCGCTTTGTTGGGCCCAAGTGTCGGTCGGGGAGGATGCCACCCGGATATGCGGGGTAAAGAGTCGGGCCTATGCGGTGAGGCCATGCACTCACTCAAGTTTGTTGCATCCCAGAGGAGTGAGATTGGGACCGGGTCACCCATCCAAAGAAACCCCCCCCCCCGAGAGCTAGGTGGTCAGTCTCCCCCCCGGAGCCACTACCTCCCAAGAGATCCATCCCGGTATTCATGTCCAAAGGTAAGAGGGGCACGGGGCAACCCAGCGGATTCCCATCATTGATACCTCCCCAAGTAGTCCCGCATAAGCCCCCCAGGGGACAAGGCAGTGGTCGCATGATGTTGGGCCCTTGTGTGTCGGTCGGGGAAGGTACTATCAGGACAGGCGAGGTAAAGGGTCGGGCCCAAGGGATGTGGCCATGTACTCACTCAGCATGGTTCCCAAGCCCATGGCATCGTCGCGGTGTCTGCCCCGGCGGGGACCCTCCTCCATGCCTGCGGGGTGCTCGTTGCTGTCGATGTCCCGGTCCCGACAGGTCCAAGACCCAGTTAGTGACTGGAACAGGAGGCAAGTTCAGATCTTCGAGGAATCGCAGTATTTCTTCAGGCCACCTGGCCGCTATCCAGCCGTCTAGATGCCTCGCCAGCAGTGCGAACGGGAACCCCCACTTATAAGCAATGTTATGTTCGCGAAGCACGGGCGTCACCGGGATAGATCATTGTAGAGGGACACTTGAGCTCCCTGGAAGGACCATGTAGGCTGCTCCGCATAATCGCATCCTTGACAGGGAACGAGTGTAAGCAGCAAATCATGTCTCTAGGCCCGTCTTCTAGTGAGCGTGGTCGCAAGGCCCTGTGCGCACGTTCAAATTCAATCTTCTGCGGGGCATCGGCTTGCAACACAAGTCGGAAGAGGCCCCGGAGTACCTCCTCCGCATTCTCCCCTCTTTCTGCCTCCTGGATCCCCCTTAGCCTTATGTTGCACCTGAGGCCCCTATTATCGAGGTCCTCCAGGTGTCTGCGCATGTGTAGAATCAATTCCCCCTGCCGGGCTATAGCATTATCCGTGGCGGTATGTCTTGCAGATTGGGTCTCAGAGGAGTGCTCCAGGGCCTGGATGCGGCCTGTGTGGGTGGCCACCTCTGTGTGAATCCCTGCCATCTCTGCCCGCAAGGCATCCTGAATAGTGGTGGTGAGTGTGAGCAGGTCGGCATTAGTCGCCATGGCAGCCGCCATTGATCTCAACTCTTTCCCATTTCGCTCCAGAGCTGGCTATTCTCCTCCTGCTGTTGAGTCCAGGACCACGGGGTCGGGCCCGGGCTCTTGTTCCCGCCGCCATTCCCACGTGGCGGGTGTAAGAAGCCGTCCATCGGACCCTGTTGCGGACTCGATTGTGTATCCCTCGGGGTCTGTGGGTGTTTGCGACCCATTTGTCCACTGTCGCTTATTATGGATCGCTTTTTTGGGGTTAGTGTGGCAGAGCTCAGTGATCAAGCGGCCATCCTGGTCGGCATCCTAGCCACGCCCCCTGCATGCCAATTTTCTGTTTTGTATTTCTAAAAAATAGTTTTATGTATATATTTTTCTAATTTCACTTCACCAACCTAGACTATTGTGTTCTGATCTATCACATAAAATTCAGATTAATAAAACATTGAATTTAAGGCTGCAATGTAACAAAATAGGTTAAAAGTCAAGGGGGTGAATACTTTTGCAAGGCACTGTATGTGACAATTTATTATATCAAAATGCAATGCCTCAAGGAGGGAAATCAGGAAAAATAACATTTTACATATTTACTAGCATACAAAATTATCTTGGCATACTTTCATTCCTATTGCCAAATTATGAGAATATCTCATGTTTCTTAATACCGTGTCTAGTTCTCTTCCTAGCTTTAATGTCATTCCTATTGCCGTTGGTTATATTCATTTTAATGCACAGTTTATTTCTGAATTCAGGTGTTCATGTGCATGTCTTGCAATTTTAACCAGTTCAATGGAATGAGTGATTGAGCATTGTACAGAAACATTAAATAATTTTGTTTGATATTAAATAAACACCTTAAAGCACAATGCAAAGTTTTAGCTAACTTTTAAAATGTTTGAAATTAGGTTATAGAATGCAAGCTAGCTGGGTGTTTGCTATATGTTACTGCATCAGAATGTTTGACCTATTAGAGTAAACATGTGAGATTACGGTTTCAACCCTGGAAGGTCCTAGGAATGGAGTCTGATGAGTTTAAGGCTCAAACCTTGGAAAGTGCTAGGAATTGAGTGTGATGAGATTAAGGTTCAAACCCTAGAAGGTCCTATAAATGGAGTCTGATGAGATTAAGGTTCAAACCCTAGAAGGTCCTAGGATGGAGTGTGATGAGATTAAGGTTCAAACCCTGGAAGGTCCTAGGAATAGAGTCTGATGTGATGGGCAGAGGAGATGAGAGGACAACAAGCCACATGAAAGCATTATCTTTGTTACCAGTATACATGATACTAAACAATACTATTTAGATTTTAATGTGTGATTTTTTTTTCATTATAAAATACAACTAGATTATCCTACAATCTGAGCATGTTTTTATGCCAGTTGGCACATGTCGTAAATATTCCACTTGTAATGGACACCTTAACTCTCACGGGTTCTCTTTTTGTTTTACAATATAAACCAATTTGGGCATACATTGGTCAAATTAGCATATGTGAATAATATATGCCCAATTTGGACATATATTATTGAAATAAGATACATGTAAAAATACACAGTTTAAATTAATGGTTTTTTTTTCTCCATAGAAAGACGTGTTTTAAAGCAGAATGTTAATGCTGGACGGGATGCCGGCAGTCAGAGTCAAAGCAGACCTATTGGAATCTGAGCAAGGGGTAAGCAAGACATGAGATGATGTTCCTTCCTAGAATGCATGTATTTGTTGTATGTCCTACATGGCTGAAGATATTGCCATACCATTTATTCATTTGAAATATAAAGTGATCTGCTTGTAAAATGAGTGGTATATTCTATATTGGTCATGGAGTTTCTCACTATGAAAATAATTGGACGAATTATGACTCTTAAAGTTTGTACTAACACTGTATCATTTGTAATAGCCTTAAGCAAATGATAAATATGTTTGAATATAATTAAACATGGTTATACTGGCATTCTACCAATTCAGAAGCAAATAGAATTAAATGTTTGCAGACTTGTTTTTTCAATTTACCATGTTTGCAAATCTTAGCCACATAAAAGGAGGATATTTCACAGCTATCTGTTTGTTCCATTAAATGTTTTTTTTTTAGCTATTTTTTCAATGGACATGGTTGATGATATTACATGCCTAAACAATGTTAAAGGGACATTATAGTCACCAAAACAACTTTAGCTTAATTAAACCGTTTTGGTATATAGATCATGCTCCTGCAGTCTCAGTGCTTAGTTATCTACCATTTAGAAGTTAAATCACTTTGTTTATGAACCCTAGTCGCACCTCCCTGCATGTGACTTGCACAGCCTTCCATAAACACTTCCTGTAAAGGGTCATCTAATGTTTATCCTTCCTTTATTGCAAGTTCTGTTTAATTTAGATTTTCTTATCCCCTGCTATGTTAATAGCTTGCTAGACCATGCAAGCACGTCCTGTATGTGATTAAAGTTATATTTACAGAGCAAGAGATAAACTTGTTTAAGGTAAATTACATCTGATTGAAAGTGAAACCATTTTTTTTTCCATGCAGGCTGTGTCAAACAGAAACAGGGAAGGTGTGGCAAGGGCTTCATAAACAGAAACAAAGTGATTTAACTCAAATGGTAGTGGATTGAGCAGTGAAACATGAGAGGCATGATCTACACACCAAAACTGCTTCATTAAGCTAAAGTTGTTTAGGTGACTATAGTGTCCCTTTAAAAAATAGTGAAAACTGCACTTTTACTGGTATTATCATCATCGTGATAAGTTTTACTGTTTTGAAACACTCATATTTTTGTTCAGGGAAGTCTCCCGAATATAACAATGTCCCCCATGTACAGGTTTTATGATGTTTTGGAAACTTACAGGGTCAATATCGGGCTTGCCCATTTCAGTTTGCCAGATTGGTTTGTTGGGTTTATGATGCCTTTTGAGACCATATGGAAACCCAGGAATGTGAATTAACCCCATCATGGCATACCATTTACAATTGTAGACAACCCAGCATATTCAAAATAGGGAATGTCCCTCTTTTCTAGTAGCCACTTAGTCACAAACGCTGTCCAAAGTAAGCATTTTTATTTGTTTTTTTGCATTTTTACACAAAAATTGCATTCCTACTGGTGATATCATCGTTGTGATAAATTTTACTGTTTTGAAACATTCATATTTTTGTTTATCAAAGTCTTCTGAGTATAACAATACCTCCCATGTAAAGGTTTTATGGTGTTTTGGAAAGTTACAGGGTTAAATATAGGGCTTGCCAATTAAATTATCTGGACTGTCTGTCTGGGTTGTCAGACAGGTCTCTTAAATTATAATGAATAAAATTAAATAATTATGTAAAATGAATACTTAACTATATATGTAGAATAGAATATGTAGAGAGCACTTCCTGTCAGTCCGGCCGGGTACAGAAATGGTAAGTTTCTGGACCGCGGTCCACTCCCCCCGGCAACGCTACATGGGAGGTAGGAAACACAATGGGGAGGGGAGCAGAACACTACGGGGGAGGGGGGGAGGAGCACTAAGGTACAGGGGAGGGAAGGGAAACGGAACTGGGGTATGGGGACACTAAAAAAGAGGGAAGGTAGGGGAGAGGAACGCTAAGGGGTTGGGAGGAACATTAAGGGGGGCACTAAGAGACAGGTAAACGGGGAAGAGGAACACTAAGGGACAGGGAAGGGAAGGGAAGGGAAGGGAAGGGAAAAAGAACACTAAGGGGGAGGGGAGTTGAACACTAAGAGGGGGGACTAAGAGACAGGTAAGTGGGGGAGAGGAACACTAAGGGACAGGGGAGGGAGGGGAGAATGACACTAAGGGACAGGGGAGGGGGCAGTGTGTGTGAGGAGTGCAGTGTGTATGTGAGGAGTGCAGTGTGTGTAAAGGGTGCTGTGTGTGAGGGTGCTGTGTGTGTGACGGGACGTTTTCCACAGAACCCACCACCGCCCACCTGAAATCCCAAACCGCCCACTAGTGGGCGGTAGGGACCAGGTTGACTACCCGTGGTCTAACCTGTATGGCATTTACTATATAAGTAGCTAATCAATGTGGTCCAGGTTAGATTAAATTGACTCTGGCAATATAGAAAGGTTAATTCTGATGATGAGGCAGTGAAAACACCGGTTTATGTTGAACCATCCCAAATTTGTTTAAAAACCATCAGTATTAAACCAGAGGATGGCACCAGAACACACTCGACAATATAACCATTATACCAAACATGTAATGCTTTTGTCATTCAGAGTGTCCCTTCAAAGTTGGGGCGGCTTTGGCAAATTAAGATTTTAGGACTGCGTTAAAGTTAATTGTTAATCTTCATGGTGACATTTTTTATGTGATGCCGCTAGCATGTGTAGTATTCTTTCTGTTCTTGCTGTAAATTGCATTTCGGCATAAGAGGCTTGTTTAACAGGCTTGTTTAAGGCTTGTCTTTGACCATTTTAATGTGATGCTTTTTAAGTCATTCCAAAGAAACTGGTCTTTGCTAATTTGTTTTACAAATTCCGAATAGTTCTGTTTAAAAACATGGCCACTGTCACAGCAATGCTGATTTTAATGCTGGCTTAATTAATGTAAAACAAATAAACAAACAAACAGCAGCATATATCTTAATTATGGTTATTGGTACTTTATGTGTAATGTTTAAGAATTTCTAATTTCATTAAATCCTTTGATTTACAGAGGGGTGTGCAGTGTATTGATTTGTTTTCATGGTTGCAATGTACACTATTACCTTTATAGGTCTCATTGAGACTCTGCATAGTAGAGGGAATATTCAGAATACTTGAGACCTTATCTGGATAACATGGATTGGAACCCATAGTCAGGGCCGGACTGGGAATTAAAAGCAGCACTGGAAAAAAAATATTTACCAGCCCCATAATGCATCGCGCCAGCATAGTGTGCAGATACAGAGTTAGAACAGATAACTTAAAATTAAAAAGTACTTCAACGTAAAAAGCGCACTCATAGGCTTCAAAATAAACAAAAGTGCAGATTTATTTTAAGCAGACGTGCCTTTGCATGTAATCAATGTTTCAGTCCAACTACCTTGACATATTAAGGAAAGCTTGTTAATGGGACTGAAATGGTGAATGTATGTAGGGCACAACTGTAAATTTTTTATTTTGAAGTCCTGTGGGTGTGCTCTTCACTTTAAATATGTTATTGTGCTGGAGTATGCACCTAGCAACAAGACTGGGCCAATATCTGCTCATTACATATGGTATATATTAATGAAATTTCTCTGTGTATTATGCATTTATAAATGTACATTATATAAAAAAAACTAATACACACATTAATATACATGTCATATACTAATGGCGGATCCAGAGCCTGAGCCTGAGCCTGAGCCTGAGAGGGGCACTTGTAGATTATTTAAAGAAATATTCCATGCACAATAACCACTACTCCTCTGTGTAGTGGTTATGGTGCCAGGAGCGTCGGCACCCCCTCCCAGAGTAAGTCGTCAAACCGTTTAAGAACAGTTTGACAACTTACCTGGAGTCTGCTGGGATATGGGGCTGTAGTAGGGTATAGGAGCAGTGGTGCAATGTGTGTGAAAGGTTCAGTGTGTGGGTGGGCAGTGTGTAAATGTGTATGGTGTGTGTGTGTGTGGGGCAGTGTGTGAATGTGTATGGTGTGTGTGTGGGGCAGTGTGTGTATGGGGCTAGAGTTCACTCCTACTACTGGGACCACCAGGAAGTGGTGAGAGTGAACTCTAGCCCGTAGCTCCAGGGCTAGAGTTCACCCTCGTGAGAGCCGGAGCCTTGCCCCAGGTCCTCTCTTCCTCCCCTGCCGACTGGCAGAGGGCACTTGCACTGCGGTAAAGATGGGGCTGGGCAGGAGGAGAGTGCAGTGCAATCAGTGCACTCCCCTCCTGTGGGTCACCAGTAGACTGGTGCACCTGCCCAGGATCAGAGCCGGTGCAAGGATTTTTGCCGCCCTAGACAAAATAAAAATTTGCTGCCCCCCCATGTGACATCACAATGCCCCACCCATATGAACTAACGCCAGTGCTGCACACAGTGTGTGTTTACATTAAAAAGCCTGCAGGGACCAGCTATAGACACCAGAACCACTTCATTAAGCTATAGTGTCCCTTTAATGTGAGGTACATTATAGATTAGTGTCACTAATAATATACTAGATTGCCTACTTACAAGCAGATGAGGATGATGATGGGCTGCAGTTTGGCTCCACTGGTCTGGTGTAGAACAGGATCTCTGGAGGCTGTTTGCAACTGTGGTCACAAAATTCAATGTTCTGGGAGAATTGGAAGCAGCTCCATTTTTTTGGGGCCCCTTACACAGCTCAAGGTCTGGGCCCCAGGGCCTGACGGTGAGTATGCCCATAAGGCCCACTCATAAGTTCCACCCACCCATGAGTTCGCTCACAGGGAGTGGAGTGTGTAGGGGATGTTATGTGTTATTGTAGAGGATCTAATATGTGTGCTTATGGTATGTAGTGTTTAGGGTTACCAGTTTGTGCAGGTGATGCAGTGTGTTTGTGTGTAGTGGAAGAAGTGTGTA